ACTCCCATGAATGTTGGAATATTATTGACTTTCATAACACTCCCCCTCAAATTGGAGAGTGAATATCAAGAACTCCCAACTTGTGTATCATTGTTGAGAAGGCTTCCTTTCCCAGTGGCTTGGTAAAAACATCTGCAAGTTGATTAGCTGAATAAACATACTTGGTTACAACCGAACCATCTTATATTTTGTCACGAATAAAATGGCAATCAATCTCTATATGTTTGGTTCTCTCATGAAAAAGGGGATTGGCCGCTATGTACAAGGATGTCTTATTGTCGCAATATAATAATGCTGGCATCTGATGTAATATTCGCAAGTCTTTCAGCAATGAATGTAGCCAGGATAATTCACAACACATACCTGTCATGGCTCTATATTCGGCTTCAGCTGAGGACAGAGATACAGTTTTTTGTCTTTTTGTTCACCAGGAAATAAGAGAAGGTCCCAAAAATATACAATAACCTGTGGTGGATTTACGAGAAGTTGGGCAACCTGCCCAATCTGAATCACAGAAGGATCGCAAAGATAAGTCATTCTAAGAAGAAAAGAACAAACCTTGTCCTAGATTATTCTTCAAATAACGCAACATACGCATTGCAGCTTCTATATGTGGTTTGCATGGTGCATGCATGAAACTACTCAGTACATGAACCGAATAAGTGATATCCGATCGAGTAATTTTCAAGTAAATTAGGCGTCCAACAATTCGCCAATATTGAGAAGGATCTCTAAGCAAATCACCTTTGTCCGAGAGCTTAACATTCTGCTCCATTGGAAATTTCACGGATTTAGCTCCCAAAAATCCACCATCTTTTAGAATTTCCAAAGTGTATTTTCTTTGCAAAATGGAAATATCTTTCTTTGAACGAGAGACTTCAATGCCCAAAAAATATTTTAAATCACCTAAATCTGTAATCCGAAAGTGATTATGCAGAAATTGCTTAAGAGCTTATATGGCAGTGACATCATTACCTGTAATGAAAATGTCATCAACATCTATTAATAATGCTGTAAAGGATTTGCCTTTCCGACATGTGAATAATGAATAATCTGTTTTGGATTGAACAAATCCAACAGCTTGGATAGATGTAGAGAACTTGGCAAACCATTGACTAGAGGCTTGCTTTAAGCCATACAACGGCTTGTTGAGTCGACACACTAAGTTCTCCCCCTGTCGCTAAAAACCAGGAGGCGGAGACATATAAATTTCTTCATGAAGATCGCCATGAAGAAAAGCATTATGGACATCAAGTTGGTGAAGAGACCAATTCTAGGCAGCTGCCAAAGCCAATAAACAACGGACAGTAACCATCTTAGCAGTGGGAGAAAAAGTGTCATTATAATCGATACCTTCAAGTTGCATGTATCCCTTTGCAACTAAACGAGCTTTGTAACGTTCAAGAGTACCATCAGAGTTGCATTTAATTTTATAAACCCAACGACAATCATCTACAATAGTTAAAAAATACTTAGCACCAGAGAGAGAGGGAATCTTGAAAGGACCTCAAATATCACAATGGATTAATTCCAAAGGCTTGACTGATGAAATTGAACTAGTAGAAAAAGAAAGTCGAGTCTGTTTTGCGAGTGCACAAACATTATAAGTGTTATTGAACTGGAAGGGAAAATTCAACAAATTTTTTGCCATAAAGTCTAATCTAGAGAAAGATAAATGCCCTAATCGACAATGTCATAAATGTCTGGAAGATGTGGCTGGAGAGCATGATGAATTGGTGGTAATAGCTGCTGCAGATTTTAGTTTGTGTTTTGGGTTCTTCGCTCTCATTGAAACCAAGTAATAGAGCCCGTCTCGTTGTTTATCCAAACCAATCGTCGTCTTCTTCATCAAGTCCTGCAAAATACACCAACGAGGAAAGAAGATTACTGAACAATTGAGATCTCTTGTAATTCGACTCACAGACATTAGATCCACCTTACAAGATGGCACACCAAGTACATTCTTTAAAGAAATAGCCGAATTCAAAGGTAAATTTCCAGTAGATATAATTGGAGCCTATTTTCCATTTGGCATA